ACACACACACACACACACACACACACACACACACACACACACACACAGGCTCCCACCTCCCTCCATCTCCTAGCCGTGGTCATGTCCAGGCCTCGTATCCAGCTCCTCTCCTGGAGACTGGCAGAATAAGCCTCCAACTTAGTGACCTATAATGAATGAACAAATAAACAAATAGGAATAGACCACTAGGGAAAGGTGGCATGTGTTATTTATGCTCAACCTGAGCTCCCAGTGGTCTTCTTATGGCTAGAATGGAACAGTCACTTATGCTATAGCTGATAAGGCAAGGCAAGAATCTGAAGTTCTGAATTGTTTTCCTATAAACAATGCATAACTCTCTCTTGAATGCTCACTATGACTTAAGTCTGATGAAGCCCCCTCTCATACATTATACTATTTTGGTACTTAATGCGTTGTCTTATTCTGGTTTATCTAATTTTCCTCTTCTAGACTGTAAACTTTTTAAAGGAAGGGCTCATGTCTCATTTACCAGTCATTAAGCACTGTGCAGATGCTCAACAGAGTATTCAATGACCAGGTCTGTGAATGAGCACCCATTTCTTGGTAAACTATAAGAAATTATCCCTTTAATGCTGAATGGATGCAAGTCAGTGTTGAAGTTCAGTGGTTCTAAGACCTGTTTTTGAGAAATACATGAAAAGTTATTAAAATATAGATATGCAGACTCCACACTTGAGATTCTGTTTCAGAAGGTTTTGGATAAATCTTCTTTAGCAAACAGCCCAGTTGATTCTGATGCAGACAGTTCAGGGACCACATTTTACAAACTTATTTGGGTTTTTGGTTCTAGGGGTTTGATGCTTGGTTAACCTCTGAAGTTTTAATATCTCATTTTGTTTTTCTACAAACCATTTGTAAAATGACTTGATTGGGTTCCTCTAAAGGAAGTCATAAAAAGGACTTGGGAAAATCAAATAATTTTTACTTACTCTTCTTAGGTGATCAACACTTGGTTGTTTTAATTATTATTTTTACCAGTTCATGGTTCTTTACTATTAGGATAATGTCCTCCAAGAGGTAATAATGGCGTGTTAGTGTAATTGTATGTTTGTATTACCTGGATCATCTGGACTGGGTAAGTTACTTCCTTCCCACAGAAAGGCACATCTGCTCTCTGAACCAGGAGTGCGAGGTTGAGACCCTCTTGACCGAAGTGATGTGTCAGAGCCTCTTTGACTTCCCGTTTCACATGCTCGTTGCTCAGCCTGCTGTGTGGATAACCTGGAGTGTCCAACACCTGGAACTGAAGGGCTACCTCTCGCCCCGCTCGACGCATGAAGCTGTGGAGGTGACAGCTGCGGCCCAGGCTACAACATGTAGTCACAGAACATGGAGCAAAGATGCTGTGAAAGTCTGTGCTTCCCAGCAGAATGTTTCCAGCAGAACTTTTTCCACTCTGAGTCATGCCAAAGAGGGCCAAGTTGATGATTATCTTGTTGGGGTCTGTCATGGCTGTGGGAAAACAAAGGCATAGCATACATAATCAGGCTTCTACATTCTCCCAACGTAAGGTTTCTTACCTGGCCTGGAGCACTCCAAGTATGATTTTAGATTTGTTTTCCTTTCATTCGCAGTGACTAAAGCATGGAGGAGGAGTGCTCCACTAAAATGGAGATGCCACGGTGACAGAAGGGAATGTGGAAATAATATCACTAGTTTACAATGAGAAAGGAGAGAGAAGTTAAATACAGATAAGAAAGGGTTTAAGAAACAGTAATTGCAGAAAATGAGGAAAAAAATCCCAAATTACATGAAGATCATATAAACCATGTTTAGGAGGAATATATTAACTCATCAATGTGGTAGGTGAGTTGTTTTAGGAAAAGGTGTTGAAGCTCGTGATCTCAGGGACAAAGCTAGCAGCGTATTTAAAAGTTATCACTATTGGAAAAGTAAGAATAAGACAGTGGAAGAAATAGCCCGTCTTTCATTTTTAGCAACATCCCCCATCTTCCCACTTCTCGACCCACCGCCTGAATACACAAGTGGCATCTGCAAAAAAATCATCTTTCCTGAATGCTTCTTTCCTATGAAATATGAATAATGTTAAATAAGACTTCTGTTTCTGTTTACCTTTTTTTTTTTTACAACCTGGGAACAACTGGTGAAAATAAAAACTACTTGCAATTTCTGTTATAAAATAATTAATAAATCATCTCTATGGCCATTAGTGTAACGTGTTGGCTCTTTAATAAAGAAAGTAAAGCCTAACACATTGGGCAGCTCAGTTAGAAGGGAGGAGAATCTTGGGAGAGTCTATTCCATGTACAATACTTGTACAGTGGCCGATCTTTTGTGCACAGCATAAGCCCCCTATAGCATTTTAAAGTCATCAATTATTTTCACTACATTTATAAGCAGAGTTGCTGGCCAATCGCTAAAACTGCCCAAGCTGCTGATTCAGAAATAGACATTTTAATATTTCATATTTATTATTTTTGCTTATGTCTCATACACAGTTTTAAGTACCGCAGGTCCTTCTTGTCCTTTAATGCTCCTCACTCCATTATACCCACACTCTAATGTGAAGACCTTGAGGGAGCTTCATATTTCCACAAAAAGACACTCATTTCGGGGGTCCCTCCAGTTCACACCAGCTCTCCTAGCTCATTCAGTGGTGTCAACTGCACTGAGAGGCAGTTTCTTTTTACAGCTAAATCAGGGGTGTAATAATTTTTGAAAATTAATTATGCAATCCCAATCTATTTGCTATATTTCACTTACCTTTTCCAGTCTTGAAAATGCTTTCTCCACAAAGACGTCTCTCACCCTGGCACGGTTATTCTTTCATATGAACTTTCACCTTCTGATAGTGTTATTGTACCACTCTGAGACTGACACCGTATGTATTTTATTTAGTTAATCTATTACCAGACTTCCTCTTTATTAGTGATGAGTTGTCTTCCCCAATCAGCACTGACTTTTTTATGTCACCTGACATACTTGTAATTTTAATAGGTACTGAAACATTCTATTTTGAGGATTAAATTTTTTTATTTAGTGCTTTTTTTTTTAAAAAGGTAACAACTTATTTATGCATAAAGAAATGCAAGATGGGTATTAAACATAAATTAGATATTCTATAGCAATGATTACAATTTTTTCATGATCTATAGTTAGATCATGACTTCACATCAGTATTTAGACCATAATACTGTTTAAATTTTTAAGACAACTCTTTTAGTTACTTTCATATAATTAAAGTGTATTATTTTATCCTAATTTATGAAATCACTGGGATGATTATATAAGCACATGTAGCTTTCCTGTTAATTAATGATAGTATATTTAGGAAAGGAGTAAAATTAATTATAACTTGAAGTCAAATACAGTTTTTCTTAAAAACTTGGGGTTTATTTTCTTATTGAAAACTCAAATTTTATGTTTTCTACTTAGTATATTACCATACTAATCCAAAATACTTTCTTGATGCTTTAAGACATAGAAACTGTAGCATGATTATAATCTAATTCATCTTCTCTTGCATTTTTCAGAAAGTCTATGAAATTTGTATTTCTGAGTGAAGGAAACTTGGAGACATCTGGAACACCTTATGACTTCATGGGCAGAGAGTTAAAAAGTCTTCTTCCTGTGTGGCTCTGACAAGGAAAACATGAACTGGCATCCTTCATCTAGTAAGCACATTGGGTTTCTTGAATGAAGTGGAGAGAATCTCCCCCAGGTGGCAGTAGCAGCCTGTTTCCTAAGAAGTGATCTTGAGCCAGATTTATTTTAATTTTCTGCCTTAAACTGTAAACGGACATTCTTCAACTATCTACCTAAACACATATTAATTGTGTGGGGGATTTTTTTTTGAAGAACAAAGCCAAGCTTTCTTTCCTATGTTTTGTATAGAACACAGCAAGCATAAGCTCTTAGCTTTTCAAAAACCCCCAATTCAAAGTTATAATTTAAATCACTTGGTGAATGTAACAGCTGACTGTTTAAAAAATAAAGTTCAGAATTCATGAGCATGATTATAAGTTCCAATAAGACTGAACATTTTTTGGATAATTTTTCATAAGTCAAATGCAGATTTTAGATTTGAGTCAATTTAGAGGTCTTATAGCAGAATAATGTATTATTAAATGATGTTGAAAGATTATTAATTATTTTTTGAATCAAAGTGAAAACAATTTGAAAAATTACTATTTTATCAACTTGGCTAAACGTAATGTAGTAAGGATTTTGAAAAGTACTTTCTTTAACAGTTGGCTGCAGAATTTCTCTTCGGAAGGGCACTGAGAAAATTGTTTAATTTAGCTACTTGAGATAGAAAACAGGGTCCTGAGAACATGAGCTAAACTCACAGAAAGTACTGTAATAGCCAATCTGCTGGTGAAGGGGAAAAGCCAAGAAAACAGTAGAGAAGATCAGGGTATAAAAGGAGAGACGGAGTGAGGGACATAAAATGAGGAAGGGACAGACAGATGCAGGGAGGGAAGAAAGGAATGGGGAAGGAGAGAATAAAGAACTATGACATTATAGTGGGGCACAAATATAGATCTCTCAGTTTTGTATATGCAAAGGGCTAAGGAACTATTTTAAAATCAGCCACATTTACAGTTTTCTTACATAAAGGTGGCTTTTAATTTTTATTTTTGGTTTTGCTTTTTATTTTGATGAAAACTAATGGAAAAGTTTTAGTTATACTCCTGTGTTAGCACAGGACAGGGGACCACAAAAATTAGAGATTGTGGGATGACATCTGAATTAAAGTAACTTAGAAGAGACAGGAAGTTGTAGCTAGAAGGACACCAACTCCCCAGGAACTTGCAGGAATCATTAGGAGGACATTTAGACTTTCCACAATTGATGAAATGAGATATTTTGGGGTAAGGGTGAGTCTAGCTGACAAGCAACTATTGTATTTCAAATTTTATATATGTACACACACATACATTCAAACATATGGACATACATAAATATTCACATGTATATATTTATGCATGTTTGTATATACAAGTGTATATATGTATATATAACTTATACTGTATATGTCTTTATACTCAGGAAAATTGTGTCTCAAATGAATTTTATTACAAATAGCTCTAGATAACAGCAATTTGATTAAAATGTGCTTTTAGTTTTAGACAAACTCCCATTTTCATTGGTTTGAATGGTTAATCCCTTGCTCTGATGATATTTCTTTTCTTAATAAAGAATACATTAAAAGTATTAATCAGATTTTGTGTTTATGATGATCAAATGGCTTTAACCCTGGATAACACTGCACCAAACTGAGAGGAACATTGATAAGCCACTGTGGCTGGTGCCGACTTGATTCACTCAGTTTGAGCTAGTTTTAGAATAAGGCATTAGATCTCACCATTGGATATTTTATGACACTGGTCAGCAGTTTAAATTTGGTGGACAGATGGTCTTAATTTGAATGCATTTTGAAGGTTCTTGAAGCAATGAAGAATGGCCTTGTCTGGACAGAAATATTTATGGGAATATAAATCTTCAGTCCAAGCTTGGTTAGTTGGTCTTTAGTGAGACTCTATCAGTCACATCCCCATGCAGGAATGTTTATGATGTTTTTGTCTGGTTTTGTTGTTCTTGTTTGCTTGCTTGTTTGTTTTTCTTCTGAGTATTTCTGCATATAATTTTTCAGATTATAAATGTATACATTTTAAAAGGCATTTAAAGGAACATAGAAGAATATAGAATTACTTTTAAATCTTAATTTCCTGGGGACCATGAGACAGTGTCTCTTTTTAGGGATTGACACAAGAGGTACATTTCTTTTTTGCAACCTACCCATATGCTCCCCCTATTTACTCCTCTTCTTTTTTCTTTTTTTTTTTTGAGGTGGAGTTTCTCTTTTGTTACCCAGGCTGGAGTGCAATGGCGCAATCTCGGCTCACCGCAACGCCCACCCTCTAGGTTCAAACAATTCTCCTGCCTCAGCCTCCCTAGTAGCTGGGACTGCAGGTGCACGCCACCATGCATAGCTAATTTTTGTATTTTTAGTAGAGAGGGGGTTTCACCATGTTGACCAGGATGGTCTCGATCTCTTGACCTCATGATCCACCGCCTCAACCTCCCAAAGTGCTGGGATTATAGGCGTAAGCCACTGCACCCGGCCTTTTACTCCTCTTTAACAATCACTGCTGAGAGAGATCACACAATTTCTATGAGATGCATTAATAATAGGAGTATGTTTAGCCTGTGAACTGTGTGGAGGCAAAATCAATTGTTGGAAGTTACTTAATCAGGATATAATCTTTTGAGAGAGTACTGTATTTAATTTTCTAAGATCTTTTATAATTCTAGTAATGTTATTAATAGTGAGATTGAGTGATAGCTTTTTATTTTTATCTGTCAGATTTTCAGATCAGAAATATGCCAACCTTTTAAAATGAATTAGAAAAAGTTTCTTCCTTTATGGTGCTCTGTAATCATTTAGATCCTTTGGCAATTACACATCCCTGGAAGGTTTGAAAA